GCATAAAAGAGGCTGCATAAAAGAGGCTGCATAAAAGAGGCTGCATAATAAAAACCCGAAAGCTGCATGAAAACGGCTCCATAAATTTCAAAGCACCATTTGACAAAATTAAGTCTCCAATATTGATAAAAACAGCTCCATTTTAATATCGGATGCTTCATGTTCAAAGCATCATTTCAAGAAAAAAGCTCCATTAATGAAATTACAAGCTCCATCTTTAGAGGATCATAAACATAAACCAGTAGCTGAATATTGGCGGTAATGGCACCCCATAAAACAGCACTGGCGTTACATTTCCTTCCAATCAAATAACGGTCCTAAATCACGTGGTATATCGCCGGCAGCTTGGTGCTATTCAATGAACGTATATAACATCAAGGTGAGTGGTTTTATCGAGGTTTATGTATTATAATCCCACTTTTCTGTTGACCGAAGTACAAGTATAAGATTTGGCAAGTATTCTCTCGTCTATTTTATTTTCTGTTTCGCGTTCTTCCAAATATAAGAATTGAATTCGAATACGTATGTAAAACGGCAACGACTTTCCAAGTCAGGTGCAAATTTTTTTTTCATGAATTAATCAACTTTTTGACAGGTATTCTGCTGCTATTAAATAGTTAATGTTATAGCTATAAAATACGTCATTTTCTCTTGGTATTTCAAGAAAACAATGTTTTTATAGGAAATATTGACGTAAAATTATTTTCTTCTTTGTCCTGACATCTAGTCGGCCATAGAAGAATAGAATGTGTTCTCGTTGCTTCAAAATCGTTAGCAATTCAATAGTTATACAAATTCTGGTTTTCATCCTTTCAAGGACAAATGCAATGTCAGGATGAAACTCCAATTTATTGTGGGGTAGTGTGATGGTATTGGTAGCTTGGGATCTCTTGTAGGGTAGTGTGATGGTATTGGGTAACATGGGTTCTCTTGTAGGGTAGTGTGGTGACATTGGATCTCTTGTGGCATGGTGTGATGGTATTGGTAGCCTGGTATGGGATTTCTTGTGTCTTGTGGGGTAGTTTTATGGTATTGATAACATGGGGTCTCTTGTGGGGTAGTGTGATGGTATTGGTAGCATGGGATCTCTTGTGGGGTAGTGTG